TGTCTGTAGTTGTGTAGTTGTGTCTGTAGTTGTGTGTCTGTAGTTGTGTAGTTGTGTGTCTGCAGTTGTGTAGTTTGTCTGTATTTGTGTGTCTGCAGTTGTGTAGTTTGTCTGTATTTGTGTGTCTGTAGTTGTGTATCTAGTTGTGTAGTTGTGTCTGTAGTTGTGTGTCTGTAATTGTGTAGCTGTAGATGTGTGTCTGTAGACGTGTGTCTGTAGTTGTGTAGTTGTTTAATAATAATAGCAATAATAATTGATCAGATTTATACAGCGCTTTTCTAGACACTCAAAGACGCTTTACACTGTCAGTCATTCATTCACACACATTCATTCTGGTCGTGGTAGCTACGATTGTAGCCACAGCTGCCCTGGGGCAGACTGGCAGAGGCATGGCTGCCATTCTGCCCCTACGGCTCCTCCAACCACCACCTCAAACAATCCATCCATACGCATTCACACCAGGCAAGGAAACAGGTTACAGGGCGGAATCGAACCGCCGACCTTCCGATCATCGACCGACTCGCTCTACCACCTGAGCCACAGCCGCCCCAGTAGCTGTAGATGTGTGTCTGCAGATGTGTAGTTGTGTCTGTAGATGTGTAGTTGTGTCTGTAGATGTGTGTGTAGTTGGGTGTCTGTAGTTGTGTAGTTGTGTGTCTGCGTTACCTCTGACAGCAGGAAGGATTCGGCCTCGTTGTGAAACGTGTCGAGCAGCAGAGTCAGAGCCTCCCTGAGCAACACAACAACACATCAGTGACACAACTGAACATCACATCATCAATCCTCCCAGTCCTTCAAGTCCTTCAAGTCCTCCCGGTCCTCCCAGTCCTTCAAGTCCTCCCAGTCCTCCCAGTCCTTCCAGTCAGCGCTGCAGCAGCAGGCTCTGCCCTCACCTAGTGACGGTCTGTTTGATTGGTCGCTCTTGTAGGAGGATGCTGTGGTTCATCGTAGACGCTGTGTCATCGTCTTCCTTCTGTCAATCACAAACCAGAAACTCTGATTGGTCCAAACTGTAACTTCATGTGCAGATTTATTGACCTGTTGGTCTGTGTCCATAATCAGTACCGCCAACATTTAAACATCTGGGTCTTCAGCTGCTGTTTCAGATCAGAAATACAGAATAATAAATGAAAAAAGTTGTGGTGCATGTGTCTGAGGTGGTGTTGTGTGTCTCTGAGGTCATGATGTCCATTACAGATGATGGACATGATGACGGTGACCATGTTCTCACCGTGCGGCTCAGCTCTGTGTTGATGGAAGATCTCCTGGTCAGAAACAGTCGGATGTCCCAGTCGAACTTCAGACACTGTTGGACGAACTCCAGACCGGCCAGAGTCTGGGAGCTGAAAGAAAGTCAGAAAGACAGTCAGACAGACAGACAGACAGCAGACAGAAAGCAGATAGACACATGACATTTAGGAGGAAGAACACATCTGGGTTCTGGTAGAACCTGACACCAGATCAGTTCTACATCCATCCAGGTGTCTCAGTCTGAACACTGGACCTGGTTCTGTTCATGTCCTCTGTCAGCAGCTGGTAGCATCAGTATTATGGGATGTCTTATAGTGGCACCAGTTTAATGTCTATGACACA